TGATCCAACTTGTGCACTCTCAGTTCAACAGGCAGCAGCAGTGAAGAAAGTTAGTAAGACGCTAGTATGTATTAAGAAAGAAGTATATTTGTAACAAAGCTAATCAGACTACATTTTTACTTTATAAGGCCCTGTGGTGGTTAGACCAAATTTGGAATATAATGTCCAATTTTGGTCATGAGAGTGGAAGAATAGATGCAGATAAAATTGAGAAAGTACAGGAGAGGGCAACCAGAGTGATTAATGTACTGGAGAAGGCTAACACAGTAGCTAAGAGAATGATGAAATGGGAATTATTTAGCCTCAAGGAAAGGTGATTAGGAGGTGAACTGACTGAAATATTTAAAATACCTATGGGTTATTATACAATTAAGCTTGAAGATCAATTTGAAGTTTCCTGACAGACCAGAAATAAGAATAATGCAGGATTAAATACACTATTCTCACAGGTCACTGTGGTACACAAGCTAGCTGCAGGAGATGGCTGCATTTGGAAATGGCAGCACTGTTTGTGCTCCAACTCGTAGGTACACAGAGCCTCTGGATAACCTGACATAACTGATAGGAGCTAAAGGTTCGTTCACCTACAGCATCACCAGCAAACTCCCCCACCAGCAAAACTCTTCAGGGTGAGCAGAGAGGCTGCCCTGCCCAGATCAGCTCTGTTCAGAAATGGAGCTCACTGCTTCGTTTCGTACCTAAATAACGGATGAATGCCCGGTTCCCAAGTGGAGCAGCACGTAACAGGCCAGTGGGACTGACTGATGAGGCAACGCATTTAGCATCATGTCTGGATGTTTTGCTCTGAATCTGAGGGTAGGTGTGATCTCATCTAGCTTTAGCCATCTAAAGGGAATGCACCAACTTTAAGCTCATCACTTCAGCTCCCACCGCAGTCACTGGAGAGAGGAAAAGACACTGCCTAAACATGGATCATGCCCATCCGAAGGCAAGTGCCTAAGACAGGTGAAATTAATTGCTCTCTGGAGGTACCTTCCTCCTTCCATTGTTTCTGTTGGCAGCCTGGCTCCTAACTAGGCATGAATCCCAGTGCTAGGGACCTTTTTGGCAACAATTACCATAGTGCCTCCTAGCTGTGAAACGAATGCTAGAGTCCATGAGGATGCAGGAAAAAACACAAACTGTGGGCCAGATTTTCAAATAGGTAGATGATATTGAAGACAAGATTTCAGTCCCCAGGGTAAAGTGAGAGAGATGATGAGAAAAGGTGAAGAGTTCAAGCTCACTTACAGTCATTCAGGAATCTCAAGTTAAGCAAAATTTTTTGATGAATTAACAGTTCAGTTTGTCACTGATGGATGAAAGCCGTGAATCTGCATTGAGGCAGTCCTGACGTGGTACTTAAACAATGCAGACTAAGAAAAATAAACTGTGCCTGAACAAAGAAAGGAAGAGGATATAGTGGCTATTAACAGTGAAATATGATGTTTTTAATTAGCAAACACTAATTGTAGGACTGGATATACAGTGGAATGGAAGAATCAAATCTCAGGTGAAAGTAGGTGATAGCAAAATACTATTAATCTGAAAAGGTATAATGAGGAAAACAAAGCAAGAGAAAATGGAAAGGCTGATTGTTCCTTCAAGCAAGAAAATGTTATTATCAATAAAAAAACAAAGTGGAGTCTATTTTTCTCTGTAGTGATACAATTTTCATACAGCATAAGACTGCCTGAATTATATTTTTTGCATTGAGAGGGCTAAAAATGAATATTAATTTTCCAAAATAATATAGATTTGAGTAAATTCAGTAAGGCAACAAAAATCTGCAGAAAAGGGATGGATTCCGCAACACTGATATAAGCGAGATGGGAGAAAAAAGGAAAGGGAAAGGATGAGGGACAAGAGAACGAGAAGGAAAGATTTATCAAGTTAGATGTCCAGAATAGAAGAGAATAAATATGTCAATGCATATGCAGATGATTAAAAAAATGTATCAGAATGATCAAGTTTTACACTTTTAAAATTACTTCAACATTAATTGGGAAAAATTAATAGTGAATAAAGTACTTCTTGACGAACCAATTCTTCTTCAGAACACGGAGGTTTTATATATCATCACTCATGTGAGAAAACCAACAAGATCATAACTCTCCCCTTTACTTTGTTTAGAAAAAATGAACCAGGCTAATCAATAAAACACAACTTGCTGCACAATTAGAATTCAGTGATCATATCACTAGATCTGAAATATTTGTAAGAAAAAGGCAGTATTGCTCTTACTACAGTCAGACATTTAGAGAATGTAGAATGAGTTAAAAAATGCATCTAGAATACAATATTTGACAGAAGAGAGATTACGGTGTACTAGTAAATATTTAAGAACAGATAAAAATTATAAAATCAAAATTAATTCCATCAGAGCCCCCCAGATTTCAGCTGAAAACTTTGGAGCTGAATACAGTTTTGTTGAAACATAAAATGATAGATACACAGAAATGGCCCCAAATACAATCCGTACTTGAAGAAAATTAATACTGGTCTCTGTGCCACACTTAAACTTTTGATTTTTTTAAGGTAATATAAAATAGTTTGATTTTTACTGGGTGGAAACATACATTGAATGTGAAGAGAGATTGCAGTTATTGGGACTATTTACATTTTAAAAAGATGAAGTAGAGAGGTTATGATAAAAGTCGAAAAAGCAGCTTAACATCCCTACTTGGTTCTTTGTGAACATGTTTGTCCTTCCACACAATGCAAGTACAAAGGAAACACAATGAAACTGAACACTTGCAAATCAAAAGCATTAACTTAATAATTTTGCTTTCACTGGTACTGCTAGCTAACCAAGACTCTGAAAATGCACTGCAATAGATAGACAGTATAAGCAGGGTAACAGCAGTGAATATATACCAGAAAGAAGCAGTTTTGAAGTGCCTTTAGAGCCTGCACCAACCTTTACCTACCAGGATTTGGTAGGAAGATGCCTGGCCACTGTTAGCCCATAGCTCTAGGATACCTGCATCTTGGCCCACAGCAGCTGGCATTGAGTGTTTTATGAGGTAGGACTGGACAACATGCATCCATGTAAAACTATACAGTTCCTATTTTTCTGCTATATGTGTTAAAGGATGAATAAAGGGTGGTATAATTTAAAGAAGAATGAAAAAAACCCAGCCACAGTCTAAATACTAAAAATTGTATGAACATATCTGTTTATAGAATGTATATACACTTAAGAAACCTTTGCTTTTTTTTTTCCTGTGGAAACATATTTACTGTGAACTTCAATACATCTAGAGAGAAGGGCATGACTTCTATTCTTGTGCAGGCCTTCACACCAGAGAAGAAGGAAGATGACCTTATCTCCTATTAATAACTACAGGGAAATGGCAGCATGCTTCTCTCACATTTGAAAAAACAGGCGTTGCCAAACATGCAACCCTAGTAAAGCTAGGACTGGTCTTCTGAAGCTGAGGGTCCAAGCGCAAGAGGAAAATAGGCCTTGGCAATACCTTTTAATGAGAGGCTGAAAATTATTCTATGTGCTTTATGAGAAACTTCATCCAATTATGGGTTAGAGGTCTGCAAACAATGGAGGCTAATGATGGGGACCTTCAAGCACAAAAAGTCTCCTGATCAGATGGCTCCTGGAAGTGCTTCTCTCTTTCATAGGACCAAACCTGAATAAAGTCTTCATTTAATAATAGTTTTACATTCGCCAGTCCAATTGCACCATGCCTTTTTTGAGGAGTGTGAAAGGGTTTGGTTGAGAACTGGAGACATCATGTGAAATGCTGCTCTTGCTTACAAGGCTGTGCATGTTCATTCACAGCAAATGCAGGGGCAGAGGTTTCTCAGCCACCACATGTAGGGCCTTGGGTCCATGGGCTAAGCGGGCTTTATCTTGTGTGTCAGGCTTCAGGCTCAAGCTAAACCCTTTTATTCAACTCTATAACATTGTTCTTGCCTATGACATGATGGCAGCTATTGGGCTTGGAGGTCCTACCCTGGATCCAAGAGAACATGCTGTGGCTGGTTAAAATACAAAATGGGATCTGAGGGTATAGGATTCTCCTCCATCCTATGCCGCTAACATATAGCATGATGGAAAGCATGTAGCTGAGCACTCCATGCCTCAGTTTCACACTTACAAATAATGAAAAAGGTTTCCATTGTATAAAGCAGGATGACCCTCATCATTACAGTCTATACAGTGTGCACTGATATCTTAAGCTGCTAAATCCAGCTGAATTGCACAGTATTACCAATCTCACATATGGCAAGGAAGAATTTTGGCTGTTACAATGCTTTAATTTTTTTTCTCCTGCCTTGCCTTCCCCTCAGAATGCCCCAAACATGTGCAGGGAAAATCACACTGTGATGGCAGCTGGGGGAGGGCCGGTGGGTACTGAAGTGTGGCTTTGTCAGTTTAATAAGCTGCTGCTGTTGCAAAAATGGCTGCAGTCTCTAAACTTAACCCCTGAGAACTTCAATTATTTTATCTACCGATCTTTTGGATTACTGACACCCTCCAAGGGAAAAGCTGTTGTCTTAGATTAACCAAAGCAGCTATAGTGCTGTCTTCCTTGGAGAAGGAAGATGACTTAGCTGTCTTATCCTTGGAAAATCTATATAATCCAAAGATTAATCCAGAAGACCCTGATCTCTTTGCAGCAAAAGGCCATTCCTAACAAACTGCTTTCTTTCTAGCAAAGCTATCTCTTCGCTTTCTCTTTCAGCCTAGAGTAAAAGAGCTGTAATTGTCCTAATAAAAGCATTTTAGCATCACGGATAGCAACTGTCATAATATAATTTCTTGCCTAGATGAAATTTATCCAGAGAGTGAAATGGTTCCTACACTCCTCACTATGAAAAGAGAGTTAATTGCTATCAGTTAAACGAAAGCACCAAGGGGACTGGATGAACAGCTTTCTCTTGGATCTCCTACAGATATCGAAAGCTTCAAAGTAGTTGGTACTGTATGTGTTGACTTTGAAATCATTGTGGGGTACAAAATAATGCACATTGCCTACCTGAGCTGCTTCATTAGCCTGATTTACCTCCCAGGTTCCTCTTTCAGGCAAGTCTGCTAGTCTTGCATACGAAAGGATCAGCCACAGCACTCTGCAGTGTTAGCCGAGTCTTTTGTCCTCCCAATAAGAGGGAACACAGAACAGTATGAAACAAAAAACAAACCCTCCCTGCAAAAGTAGCCTGTTAAACTAGCCAAGCACTTCAGATACAGAAATTCTCAAATTCTCAAATTCTCACTTTCGCTCTACTTTAGAGACAGATAAACAACCTGCTTTTAGCAACAAAACACAGTCCCTGACACACTGCTTTTAAAATAACGAATTGATCAGCCTAGCCCTCCCTCTTTCCATCCCTTAAGAGAAAAGATTGCATGCAGTTTGAAAAGAAAAGTCCAAGAAAGCTTGAATGTGTGACAAAGCAGAAGCCAGACCTAAAGCAAACAGTAAAAGCTGGAAATGTCACTGCTCCCCTGAACAAGGTAGCAAGGAAGGCAGAGTCCCAGCGCCAGTGGAGCAGGGTGTGGGAGCTCTGTAGGTTGCTCGGAAGTCCACTGTAAATGAAGTCAGGTGAGTTATCTCATGTGCTCTGACTAGTGATTGTGGGACCTTTTAGAGTGTGACCTTTTGAAATGTACGTGAGCTACTGCAAACCATCTCAGCTCCTGAGGGCGCCTGTAGCATGAAACCAACGGCGGCCTCACAGTTGGCAGAAAATGTGTGAGGTTTTCTGTTTACATATATTTGTATACAGACACTGGCTTGTTTGCTGCTTTTTCTAAATTACTGCCCTCTGCATTTTCTTGGTTTTACATGCACTGCAGTCAAGCCACTTTTTCTGACAAATATGGAAACTTGATGACTTGAAAAAAATCCTTCCATGTCAATTCTGCAGTTCATATTCATGCTGAGATTGTATCTAATTTTGAAAATCTTCACACTTGTGCCCTGCCATCATGTGTAATCTTTTATGCATGGCTACCTCCACTGCTGCTGAAGCAGTTGCTATGCGACAGATGAACCTGCTCCGTGGGGCCCTGACATTAGTAAAAGCAAATTGACCACAGGAGCACTAATCTAGCATGAAAAGCAGTTGGTGCCGTGCATTTCCTAGAGAAGGATTACCTAATCAACAAGCAAAACCTCCTCTTAAACGTGAGCTGAATTACCTGGGTCTGGATTTCCCTGTTTCACACCTTTTTGCTACACCAAATCATCCTGAAGAGTGAAGTCTATGAAGGCACATCACTCAAGAGGAACAGGGACTCGCCTCGGATCAGATTCTTCTGCTCTCACTCTAACCTGCTTGCAAATTTGTCATCTGGGCTGATAGTTGCTGTAACTTGTTTCTCCAAGGTTACCCAAAATTGGTAATGAAGACAAATAAAGACAAAAGATGGCCAGAAAACAGTGAATGTCACCCTCTGATCACATCACTGATAATCTGTATGAACTTTAAGCGGCAAAAAAGGGTTAGATGCGAAAGCGGGCACCCAATACACATGGAAGCACGGTATAATGCCTTCATCACAAAAAGCACCACAGCAAACTGCTGCGTTTCTTGGAGAAAGTGATCTCAGGGGAATTATACTTCACCAGCCAGATCACTACTAACATCATTATTAGTGATTTAACCCTGCAAATACTGGGCAATTTTCTTTGAATCCATCACCAAACATATGATTACATTAGAGAAAATGAGTCCTGACTCACATAAAGGTTTAGCTGACCTGTATGCTGGATGCTTTCTGAGCAGAATAAGGCTGATAATCTACTGTTTTCTCCTAGAGGTAGAAAGGCTTTTTAAACCCTTATCTTGTCATCGGTGAACACAGTTGCTGGAAAAAGGTGAGTTACAGACGCTCTGCTGTTGGAGGATTCAAATTTGCCCAATCAAGAATCTCTGCAACTTCACCGCACCCCAGTGAGACACAATTTACTGCATAAAAAGCAGGTTTTCTATTGTGGTACACCAGAAAGAAGTATAACAAGCTAGTGTGCAATGCTACTCGTGTTATGACAGAATACTCTGCACTCAGATCTTACAGAAACAGCATCTCATTAACTGAGTTTAGAGCCATCCCTTGATTGCTCTTTGACTACAGCCCGGTATTTGCCAAGTAACACACTTAACTCTGCATAGATTAGGTGGACCAACTTTCTCACGAGATGTCTGGAACGTGACAGGATAAGATTGTGATGACATCTTTATGCGGGGGTAATACTCACAACTGATGCATCATAAGGCTTATAAAAGAATCTCAGGTAAACATCTCTACTTCCTTCAAAATATTAATCTCTTCCTTAGCTCTTGGTATATCTCAGTGTCTGACCACAATAGCAACAGCAACAGAACTTGCTGTCTTTAAAATATTCGTTTCATTTAGCCCATCAAATGAGTTTTGTTTCTGGTGCTACTTCTGTTTATGACTAAACTCTTGTTAAGGCACACAGTACAAGGGCGACTGACTGTACACTGAGTGACGCGAAGGGACTTAGTGGTGCAACTTCCATTAACCTTAATAGGATTCATATAGCTAAATCCCCACCCTGAATATTTAACCTCCACTGTTTCTGTCTCTTCTAGTCTGTATAAATTGCCTTGAAGAGTAAAACAAACAAACGCATATATACTGACTTCGGCAGAGTGTTTAAGCATACACAGCATATATTCAGCATACCCTCATGCTGATCTCAGGTGGGTCCTGCCCCCCAGGACTGATCACTGCTCCATGCACATCAGGACCATAGTGACTCACCTTGTAAGTCCTTGTATGCCCTCACCTTGTATGCCCTACACGCACATACAAAGGTCCTTGTACAAGTCGAGCTTTAGCTGAGCTTTTCAATGTTATACCTACAGTCTTTTGTGCAAGATTATCTACTATTACAGCTGAGGAGCTATTATATTCCATACTTCCACTCAGGCCCATCAAAAATAAATCAAGGTCAGTTGTAGGACCAGTAAGAACTTGGGAGATACAAGTTCAGTTCATACTCGTACAGGAGATATTTAATTCATACTGAATCAGTGCTCTAGCAGAGACCTTGGGAGTGTCAGTGGACATCAGCCAGTGGTGACATCCTGCAGGAAATAAGTTCAGCCAAGCTTTTGGAATTTCACACTGTACTTTTTTGCCGGAAGCATTGACTGTGCAAAGCAACTTTTGTATCACACACAAACCACAATCTGTGTGGTGTGAACTTGGTCTATAAACCAGCCTGTAGTTCTAAGTAAATCTTTACTTCCAATGTCCAACCTTTGCAAGAGGTCACCATGTGCTGTAAAGTAATTGCCACCTCAGAGTTCTGACCCAAAAGTTGCTGCCCATCTGTAGTGTGTAAAGTCATCTTCTATGCATGCAGACACATGTCTAAAAGGCACTGAAATGTGGAGCCTTTATTTACCCTTTCAAGCACTAGTTGGTATAAATCGACCGCTGGCTTCAGCTGGCCCCTCATACCTGCAATGTGAGAAACTTGGATTCTACTTCCAGCTTTGTTCCCATCCTGCTCTGCAGCCACAGCCATGTCATCTCACTTTTCCATGCCTGCTTGTTAAAATATTTCCTTTACCCATGAGATGGGGGCTAATGATGCTGATTTTCTTTCTAGAATGCATTGAGACCTATTTATAAAACATGATAAATAAGAGCTAGGTGTTATTCTTGTTTAAGTGAAATAGCTAGTGGCTATAAGTTAGATCCCATTATAGCTAGTGACTATAAGTTAAAGCCCACAGAACCCTATGAATTCTTGGCCCCAAAGAATTCAGTGAGCATCCTGGCAATCAGTGGGGACATGAGTTTACCCAGGAAATGTGACAGCTTTTGTGCAACGCCTCTAAGTGGTAAGTACTTTGTCCAGCAAATGTCAGAGTACAGGATGCAGACCTCAAAGGTCACTGAGTCCACTTGCCTTTAGTCATAGGCCACAGCATCCTTTAACCTGCTAATGTAGGTAACAAACATCAGCTTAGAACCAGCTTCAATACTTTTAATGGAAAGCCACTGCAAAGCTTTGCTCCTCTGCCAGTGGAGCTCTATCTGTTTTCATGACCACTTTACATACATTTACTCTTGCTCCAAATTTAGCTAGCTCCTTCTCTCTCTTGCTTTTTCCCCAGCCCTTCCCCATAGCGTGTGTGTGCGTGTGCAATTCAATATATATACATTGCAAGAGAGAAATAATATCTATTCACTCTTGAGTAAGTTCAGCAAGCTCTTTTAGCATGTGTTACAACCCAAGGAGAAGAGCTGTGCAAGCTGGCCTCCCCTTGAGCCAGCTTTAGTTCTAGGAAGCTGTAAATGTGCTTCAGCACAGCATTTCACCTGAGCAAATAAGCGCTGCTGCATTGCAGGGTACTTCAGTAGAGGTTCAGGGCTACACCAGTGCTGCTATTTCCACATTTAAGTGCCCCATCTGGATGTATTAGCTTGGGCAGGTGCTAGCTCAAGGCTTTCTTTGCTGTACTTCATTACACAGAATGGATACATCTCCACTTGTTAGGCACGCTCTCCAGTTCCCTCGGTCACCCTGCTGTCCTTTCTGGCACCTGTTTCAGCTTGAATTAGTTTTCCTTGAAGGTAAGTGATGAGAATTATACAGATGAGATTGTTCAAAACTCATCAATGTATTGTACAATGGCATTAATATTTCCCTCTTTCTACTAGAAATACCTCTCTTAATGGATCCTACGATCACATCTGGGGCTTCTTCCTGTATTCCTGCTAATTTCATCTCTCCTATTGTTCATTAGTGCTTGTTTTCTGCCCTAACAGCCACTTCCTTTCTGGAGCAGTCACACAAATTATCATTAAGCGGGGCAATGCTCAAACCCTGAAGGGCTACAATTAGGTTTTGGGGTTCCATGTGGGAGGACTGCACCAGACAACTAGTATAATCCTTTCTTTATTCTTTAATGATCATTACCTTCTCAATATATTAATAAAACTCATTTCCTATCCTTCTGGACATGCAAGGCAAAAGTAATTAAAACAAAAATTAAGAAGCCCTTGTTGTATTTAATAACAACAAGGGTCTAAATTCAGCTTTCAGCAAAGCTCCAACAGCTTGATTCTGTG